TGTATATATAACGTCACATATCTATATGGTCATGCTTATGTTGCCAGTTCTCCATATTTAAACAGATAACATTAAATTTCTCAAATTTCTTCTGCTGTTACTCATACATATATCTACTATTGAATAATATATGTAAATTGTGATAGATAGATATTTTACAGAGTAACAGACTTTATACATTAGGTATCAGATTTTACACCTTCACATAGTAATACCAGCAGCCCATAGACCCCAACCACTTCATTATCCTACACCAAAACTAGTGAATAGCTCTGCTGCAAGCTCTCGGCTTGAACCAAGCTATTGCCACCCAAATTTGCCAACATCGAAGACCTGGACTTCTTAAAGGTGGGGGCCATGAATATTGTGGCATTAAAAGACGGCTAATTTTGTAAACAATTTCCACTGTACAATTTAAAGGATCCACAAGCACAGATACACAATATACTATAATAATCTCTCAACATGATGACTGTCTTATATATTTTTTTAAAGAAAGTGACATAAGTTGAAATGGTAATGTACTGGCTATAAATTATTATGTCAAGGAACTGTATGGTACAGTATATATAAGGATTGACTCTTGTGCGTACCAATATGCAAAAGAAAAAATTGATATGCAAATCACGATACAACTATTTAAAAGTACACATCAGGCACATCATAAGATTGCTCCACTCCTGTGTATATTAATTTGATATGTAAATAACGATAGAAGTATGTATAAAGCACTTGTGTCGTAAGAGATACCGACTAAAGTAGTTGTTGGACTATCTAATACAGGTGCGTTTGAGTTACATACACAACCACCTAAAACAACCTTATAATCACTGCCAGCTAATAAAAAACCCAAGCCTAAATTCCGTACTGGCATGTTCCGGTTCATCGCCTGCCCAGCCGAATGATATGCATCAGCAAGGGTAATCATGAGGCTGTCTGCTCTTCCCCTTCTGGTGTAGCCATCCATACCAACATGCAGTTGTCCTTCCCGACCTCCGAAAACATCTTCGTCGACTTTGAAGAACATCTCCTTATGTCTTTCCTACATCCTCTTCAAAACCTCTCCATCTACTAATGAGTGATCCAACTTAATCATATCAAAGACCTTTTTAAAATTTGACAAATGACCTGATCCCAAACCTTCTTAACAATTACATGATAGCATGATTAATGCTTAAGTGAAGGTTTGCAATGCGCAGGAGAGTTAACTTACCTTAAGTTATACTACAAAATATAGATACTTTTATCTCAACAAAAAATCACAAAGAACTCAACCTGCATGCGTGACTGCATGTCAAGATAAGCCTTCAGGTCTTCTCCAGCATTTTTTATCACTTAATCCGCTATCATGCCAACAAACAAAACATTCCTAACATTGACAAGATTTTCTAAATTGCACAGAGTAAGCATTTTCGTGTTTATGCAAATGGTTTACATTATTATTCAATTAGTCTTCCGGTGGGGTTTTTGCTATATTTTTTTTAAGAGCATGCATATACAGAAGCTTTAAGCAACTTCACTGAAATATTTCAAGGCATATTTCAAATTTGTTAATTTTACTTTGATCAAAATAAACCTGAATGCAATTCCCTCACATGATTTTGAACTTTGTTATGTGGAATTGATGTTCCAGTAAAGTAAGAATACCTTTGATTATTAGACCTTAAGAAATACCCAAATTAAAAACACCCATATTTGTTTCCAGTAAATTGAATATAAACTCAAAATGTGATACAAGGTATGCCAACAATTAAGTCATATTTTGAAACAAGTGATTCATGTTTTCTTTTTTTGTAATATCAATATGTGGAAATATATAACTCAACATGTGATCCATGGAACGGGTGATAAATTCTGTAAACAAATAACATTTTAAATACACAAGATCCTGTCATTATTATGCAATTATTTGGATTTTTTTTTTCATAAAATCATGTGATGTTTGTACAATGCAGTCAGACACGCTTGAGAGACTCTATACTCATAAACCATATTTCAAGCACAATACTACACCCACTGCATGTTATAACATCATACTACATATCAAATGTATGAAATGATGATAAGGTCCCTGTTAACAGGTACCATGTACACTATCACATGTGTAAACACCTGAATCACCATATGACACACACATAATGTATAATTAAGGAGGTATAACCATGCAGGGTCCTTGTCTGATACCCAAGGTATTTCTGTATAGTCAATCAACTCCTTAGGGACCCAAGTATGTGTGTCATAAACGGCATCATGACTGATCATGATACAGCAACAGCCACAGGGAAAATGTTATCTCACCTGGACAGGTAACACACAGGTAACCCTAGTGGGACCTTGAGAATCAATGTCCAGTCTAAACTGACCACCTGTTATCTGTAGGGTAACCGATACAATCAATGTCAAAATGTCCCCTTGTAATCAATCTGATTATCAAACAGATAACGTAATAGGAAATCCCAAAGATTTATCCAGGAGGTCAATATATATAATTACTTCAATTCAAGGAAGAATGTTGAGAAAATGTAATGGTACATGTACACCTACTTTACTTGATGAAATGGCCAGGTTAGGTATTGATCTAAGTGACCATCAGCTGGCCAGGTGTGTTTGACAGGCCAATATATAATCACATGTACAAATTACTCGGCCTGGTTTCAGGTAGGCAAACACAATAACAACCAGTTTGATCATCACAGTGTCCAAGGTATGGTCAGTATTGAGATATCAGTGGCTGTGTTAAATTGGCAATAAATATGTAACGAAAATCGCAAAATAATACCGAATAAACAAGTCTACAGCCATTTTTCCATACAAATGTTCCAAACATGAGAACAGCTTATATCAAAACCAATGTTGACTTTGACAGCATGTACGTAATGAGGGAAGAAATATCGATGTTCTTTTTGTTAAGCTTAAATATGTGACGGGCTTCAGGTGTTTGAGTAAACCTGATGTGACGTAAACACCCTTAGAACTTTGGTTAACATGTGACGTAAACGCCCTCAGAATTTAGGGCTATGTAAATAAACAGAGATATTAAGAAAAGTACCAACAGTTCATCGGGAAACATGAACTTTATTTTATGACTAAGGATATCAAAATTAAACCCACATAACTTAGATAAACATACAAACTCCCAGTCACAGTATGGGGCGTGTATATATAGATACAGGTACATTGTCCTCTCACACTGTTTCCACCCTCTGACCCTGAAGCTAGTACTTGGCTCCAATATTTAACAAGATAAACAGAGGCCTTTATCTTTGTTCATTGTATATCTACTAGTTTACATACCACAATTGTATAACAAGGTCACTTCTCAAACCAAGAAATATAATTATTTTTGTTTCTGATATTATTACCATTATTTACCACCATCTATAGTGTCTACCTATAGAATTCCACAAAGTGATAATATTCTATTTTCCAAAATAATGGATTTTTGCTCAGCACATGCAGGTACATGTATATAATTATAACCCATTATATTGTTGTTTCAATGAACGAGATACTTCACTCTTATTCAAAGATATCTACATGTGTGGTTATAGTTTATCCAGCTGCCTAAATGGATATATTAACTACGCTGGGAAGTAAGTCTGGGAAAATTGACAGCATCAATATTCATTTTTTTTTTCTTGAAAGTATGAAATTTAAAACCAGCCAACTGATCAATTTCTTATTAAAGTTTCCATTGTGTCAATAATTCTATTATGAATTTTTATGATTTAAGATTATTCACTATAAGACTTATATACATATAGTACAAACGATACCATTCCTCTGTGATGTCTCAGATTTGCTTGGTTACCTGAGTGGCAGAATGCCCTAAGTGTAACTTCAGGTTTGAGTGTGAGCGAGTTGAACATCACCTTATATTTATTAAGCTAACATGTTAAAAGATAAAAAAAAAAAAATTGAAAAGGTTTTATGTCTTCTTTTATAGACATTCAATAGACGATTTGACCTATTACATCACACTGCATAACCCATATAAAATACATATATTGCTGGATTGACAAAAGAATGCCCGATCAAAATCAACCTCCCCTTACTGCTTGCTCATGTACATGTACAATCATTGACAACAAAGTGGACCCAAACACCTCACCTTGGCTCATACCTCTGGTGACCTCATAAAATTCATGCTGGCATTAAGTGCTTAAGGTGTATTAAAGACGTAATCTGATTGTGGCAGATTATTTATTCATAATCCATAGATAGCATTGTTTCTCCATTATTTGCTTGTATACCAATCAGCCATTACCAGACAGGTTTGAAAATCTGACAGCGGGTACAAAATTGTGGAAAAGAAAGCCGCTTACTAAACTAAGCCTTCAGACTGGGCCTTGGTAAACCGTAAACATGTAATAAGAACACAAATGTATTTGCCAACACTTGAAGATAAGAAACTTTAATACACTTCGATCTGTACATAATACGCTGACCACATACACTGGTCAGCACCTACTTAACCTCAGGGCGTTTGCCACCCCATAAAACAAGGATAGGCGTCCAAACATATACTTGACCGCCCTCTGCCACACGCAAGACCAGCAGAAAAGCCTAATCACTAGACGGCTTCTTTAATAAGGTTCTATATAACTGCAGTAAATCTTGAATTAAATCCAAACTCAATGAATACAGCTAGTATTAAAGAATACAGAGGTGTTTTTTAATTTGTAAATGATTGACCATGCAGTTCAGTTTTGTTCATAAAATATTTTTTACATATTATATACCGGTATTCAGTTTAAAATCCTGATCAACATTTAAAAAAATATGCATGATACGATTCATTGTTATAATGAATCGAACCATCAAGTAATCGGTTTATATTCCATCAAACTACAGTCCATTGGACTTAAATGAGCAAAAATTGTTAGTGTCCAAGCCTGTATAAGATACATAGAATATTATTTATGAAAAAAAGATGAAAACTTAAGGATATTAAGGCTCTTGAGAGCTTTTGTTGAGTCGTGTATATATATAGAACCCACCTGGAAAAGTACCCTGGTCTGGTTACTTTTACCCATCTTAGATCTCACCATCCCTGTTCATCCAACACGGCACCTGTGACCATCAAAGTGGCAGCTCTTTGGAAGCTATCCTCAGGGTTGGATCATCCGGCCTTCATTGACACGATAAGGCTTGCAACCAACTGTTCTGGTATTTCTTAGTTTTTATATGAAGTGGATAAGAAGGCTGTGCTGGTATATATCTAGACTTCCGAACCTCTTCTGTTTTTTTTATACAGAAGTCCTCATTCACACGTGTCTGTATAGGTCCAATTGTTTGGATCAGATGTCCGTAACCTATAATGCACCCCTACCCTTAACAAACTTCCTGGCCTGATGTGGGTCTGGTTTTTTTGCAAGTCCAGTGCCAAACGGTTATAAAAGTATATGTACAGAGCCGATAGATACAACAATGATATCAGAAGAATGTGATACTGTTTTGTATAGTCAAGTGTGGCTGTAAATATAGAAAGTACTTGTCTGGTGCATGCGGCTACATTGTCTATACTTTAGTACATGACCACACAATATCACTGTACAATCTTGTTTGTGGTCAAGCTAAGAATTTCTCATACCCCACAATTATAAAGCTTTTGCCTATATGATACCATTAGAATACACAGTCTGACCATATCTTGAATGAACCACATCTGTTCGAGTACAATTCGCCTACACACTCTTCAGTGTAACAGAGAACGATTAAAAGCCTGAATGAATCTGCTGTCCATCCTTATATTACCAGATATCTTATCCCACCAACAATATGAGGAATGATTGAATTCACACTATGTATTGGACACCTGGTGAGGGATCCTTTTCTGAGCTGGTCATAGTAGAGGATATAGTAATCCATACGCTATAAATCTTCTATTAACATTGACGTCAGGTGAACTGGCAAAAAAGGTGGGTTGTAAAGTAGACTACATAAATTATTTTCTAGAAACACGGAAGACTGATCAAACCTGGCATTAGATTTGTTGACATTCTATCTGAATGTGAAGGTTTCCTTTGTAAACAAATTATCCCAAGTCAGGGCTGTTGATGTTTTTCTGACCTAGTTTAGTAGTATTTTGTTTTTTCCTCCAATTACCTGTCAAAATGTTACAAGGTACAGTATACGCAAGTACAGGTAAGAAACAAAACAGGGCTGTATGGGGCCGTATGCGTGCTTGCAATTGACGGCCAACACCACTAAAATTCCTGGGTCACCATCTAAAGAAAAAGTCTGAAGTCACCCCAAAACACACAATCTCAAACAATCACCAAATTCAAAACAACCAGAAATTGTCAGGTCACCCATTAGACATGTAAACAATAGCTTGATTGTAAGTCGAAAAAATTTGTTTATGAAATAATATTTGATATTGTCCTCATGTGTGTGTATGAGTACACGTATTTGTGTTTCTAGCGTGACTATGTGTCCCTTCAACAGACACACTTGTCAATGTCAGGACTAATACATCCAATCTTTTGTCTCCCACCAGATAGGATATATATTTGCACCTGGATGACATTTGGTTCAACATATCCAAACATTTAAAAAAAAAAAAAAATGTAAAATCAGATTTTGTTCGAATAAAGTTTTAATAACCCAAGCTCAGTGATTATAGGGAAAACAAACCTTGGAGTTTTACGGATTCAACAGCTAACCCTGTAGTTGTCAAGATAAAGATATCTGACCAGATATATATGAAACATATTTGGAAATATCATTAATAGTTTTAAATTTAAATACAGGTATATGTACCTATTTAAAGATTGACTAAACACGAGTTCACAATCCATTTATTTCATTATTTTTTCCCACCTATGTCTGTACAATTATAATCATGCATGTTACTAATAACTATGAGTCACTTTAGTGGAATTTCCTTATGAACATTAACAGGTAATTTGTTCGTATTTTAAACAGCTGTCTGTGTTTAGCCTAAGTATTTTGCATATATGTATGCTTTGAAATTTACAATCTGCATGTTATTTTCTATCAAAACATGTACCAAGTCAAATGTAAAAGGTGACTGAAGTATTTTTAAGATAGAAATTTCATATCCACTCATGTTCATTTCTGTGTAACCTAAGGGTACGCCTTATCAAGTATGCAAAAACAAATCTTACCACAGAGTCAAATTAATTTCCCCATATAGAACAGAATCTTGTTAAATTCTAATCATGCAGGGACAAACATATTCTCCTTTTCACAATAAATCATTGTTTGACATTTAATTAGAATTTTGTAATGAGTCAGTGTACATTAATAATCGGAGGCAAATTAGTAAATCTGAGAAGGGAAAGTTTGGAATAATTTCAGATATAATTTCTAAAATGATGGATGCGTGTGAAATCTAGTCCTAAACTTGCATCTGTCTGGTAAAATGACAGGAAGCTAGTTTGTCACTGACTGAAAAACAACAGCAAATATATACGAGCCCATCAGGAAGTCGCCAGCACGCAATTCAAGTGTGTGTAAGTGGTGCCCTTTACGACAAATACGTTTATTTACATTCCCGAGCCAAGCACTCCCTAATAACCATACCTTATATGGTAAAAAATACTTGTACTTTCATAAATGAAATCTATGACGATGTGTCTCAACGAAATTTGAATCTCTACTTAATGTGGTCAGCTTTTATTTGTACAGTGAAAATGTTATGTCTGGTTCTACGTACATTCCGGAGATCACTGTTCAAGTACATGGTAAAAACTCTATCATTATGAAAAAAATAGTTCATATGAAAACTTAAACTGTTAACAGAAAAAGGGTTTTGAAATTCAATATTTTAATTTCATTCCCTTAAACTATTCCAAACTAAATGTTATCCAAAAGAAAAAGAACAAGAAGAACCCATATTTCCCAGGAATGATTGTGATTCCACCCCTGATTGTTTGTACTCTTGAAGTCTTGCCCGAGGTAGAATGTATAATGCATCAGTTATAATTACAAAGGAGAGTTCCACTAAAGAAATGTTTTTGACTTGGAGTATGCTCCCTTCTGGAAGCAACAAAAAAGTAGTTTTTATGGCTTATAGTTACTTCCCTTTTCAAGGTATTTATCTTTCATTTTCTGCCGTGCATTTGTAATTCCTGGATAAAAACATTGGTAAAGGGTAAAAAAGACAGTGCACTGTCCAAATTTTGATCAGCCTTAAGTTTTTGTTTTTTCGTTTTAGCTTATTTTTGTTTTCAAATTATCAAATTTTGGACGACAAGATGTTTAGTAAAGTGCATTCTAAGATGTAATTTAAATGAACAATTTCTGTAGAAAAGGACTTGAAACATATTTCCAGGTTTTAATCAATTCATTCCATAGAACTGCTTAAATTATGGTATTTTATATCACTATACTGTCAAAAAGGTGTCATTGTAAGTTCTTTTGACATACTAATGTACTAATACCAGTATTTTGCCAATGGCTTCCCATATTCATGAAAAAATTGAAAGGTTTCAAAAAATGACCAAGAGTACAAATTATATGATGAAAGCAGACATCAGAATTATATAGCTATAAAGGGACACAGATTTAATATTGATTATTGGACACTGGCATATTACACCCTCCACACTGTGTACTGCCAATTATCTCGAAATGCATGGCTTCCATAAAATTGATTATTCACAACAAATGATCTCGACTTAATGAAAACAGCCATGAAAACAACAATGGCCAGTATTTCCCACCCAGACCTAATAAGTGTTATATATAGTGTCAGTGTGTGTTACAGTGTCTGCAGTCAATACAATATGACCACAACGTTGACATCAAAACAATCAGTCTTAATCAGGCTATCTAGCTCGGACCAATCATATAACTTCAAACAAGACCAAAGATGGGGTCCAACTAAAATTAATATATGCATTAACTCTAGTGTGTTTTCCTTGATCAGTGGCAATTGCAATTAACTGACCAGCACAAGCACTATCATCAGCCCCTAATCAGACCGATTCCTTTGACCATTGTTGTCCCTATACCTAATATCAAACTGATCCCACATCCAGATGTGTCCCAACCAATCATAACTGTTATACATAGCCAGTGATTTCTTTTGCCTTGCTTTATGTATGTTATGCCACTAAAAAGTTACCTATTTTCCCCATAATAAAGGCCAAAATTTAGGAATATTTTCTAAATTTTATTAAAAATATCACTATATTCCCATTTTCCCATTACACATATGGTACATATATACTGTAACATGTTGGAAGAAAAATCTCTCCTAGCTGATCAAGTGTGCTGTTATAGGAAATTATCTCCAGATCAGGATTGACTGACCATGTCATCAAAAGATCAAAACTATAAGGCTTCACTATCACCCTATCAGCCCATATAATCAGGCTATCTTTGGCCATCACATGTTAAGCCCCTAACATCCTCAAACAGATACAAAGACTATTGTGTTTCAAACCTAATAAGTGTTATAGCCAAATTATCTGTATTGTATCTTTAACATTTACTGACCATGCCATCAGGACTGATCTAAATATCGGCTCTTAATCGGACTATCTTTGACCATACTAGCCCCTAATCTCAAACGTGACCCTGTGTGACAGTAATATGGGGACAGAAGCCATTAACTTGATTCTGGACAGATACCCCACAATGACTGGCAGATTCTGACCAATTATCGTGATGCTATCGGGAGTGACCCTGCCTGAGGGTCCTGGACAATCAATTGTGGGATACATTGGGTCACCATCTGTCTACCCACACAGGCCTACAAGAGCTGGGCATCATTTGTAAAAAGAAAGGTTAGCTTATAAATTTTAATCTTTTTTTACACATTTTGAATTCGGTTTTATTCTGTTACCTGTCCTAAATGATTATTATGGGTACTAAAGATTTTTTTGTTCCAATGTTTCAGTGTTGAAACTTTTATTATGTTTTTGTTATGCTGTGAATGTGACACTCGAGCTCGGACAGCGTGTTAGTTTGTTTACAACCTAACAAGGCATGTGACAATTGTGTCCACTCCTGGCTAACAGAAACCATTGTCTCACTATGAGATCATTTGTTAAATAAAGCCACACAAAATGAGCACCACCCAGAATAAATTGTCAATAAAAACAGTAAACAGATTCATGTCTCTTATCATGACATAAGAAGTGGACATAAAAGCTTTGTTTTCATCATTTCTTCATTTTTTTTTATATAATTAACTGCATGCAACAATATAGAATAGAGTTGAAATCTTTAATTGATTTTTTTCCCCTTCACTTCAAGGATATATCTTCCTCGACATCAACCACATAGGTCAGCGAGTTACGTTGTAAAATCTGAAAATTAGTAACCCCTTCCTCCCTCCCAACTTTTTTGTTGTTGATTTAATTTTTCCCTCCTTTTATACTTCCTGGGATCCTGGCTTAAATTTCCTTGACATCAATTACAGTTCAGAGCACATACTTATTGGTAAATAAGATAAATCTTTGGTGAATGTTTTATTTATTTTTTTCATTTTTTTTCCCTACGACTTCACTGAACAATTCCTGTTTATGAAAAACTTGAAATCAATGCTAAGAATTGGATTTCAATGCCACAGACTATACCGTGAAGGATCACTCGTAACAATCCCTGCCATCATTAAATAATTCAATTGACAGGTCAACTAGAAACAAGACCATTTTAGGAATGCTAGAGTGAGATTAGACCATAGTCTTAAAGTTAAAACTGAAAAAAAATACCAATAACAGATTACCTGATCTTATCCATAACATCTAAGATTTCAAAACCAAAGCACAGCTTAAGATCGTATATGTTTGTTGTGCACACC